GAGCCAGAAACACTCTTCAAGCTTGGTTGTTTTGTTTATATATATATATATTTTTTTTAATGAAATGTAAAGCCTTAGCAAGGCACAGAGCCAAATTGGTACTAACGTTCCCATGGAAAAGGTATTGAAAGCTGTTTGCTGCTAGGAAGATGGATACATGTCTCTTCAATTTATGTATTTACTTAGTTGTGCAGTTGGCCATCTGAATTCCTTTTGGTCTCTGAAATGATGTTGTATAGTATGTAAAAAATAGCCCAGTATTCTGACAGAAATTCCATTGGTTACCTAGAAATGAGTAAAAGTAGGAGCCTGTCTTTACACAGAGGCATAACACTATATTAATTCTACAAAGAACTGCTGTTTGCAGTGCATAAAATATCCACTTTAAAAAGCGTTAGCTCCTTCACAAGTCTTTAGACGGGGACCAAAACAGACAAGAGTGTTCAGAACAAAATATTCTGGATTAGTCTGTATTTGAGCACGTCAATGGCGAGGTTCCCTTCCAAGGTGGAGGAGCAGAGTCCCTGTCGACTACTGCAGTTAACAGTTCATAGCAAACCAACCTCACTTCACAAAGAGGGATCGGCACATTTCCTGAGCTTGCACCCTCCACACATAACAAATCCAGATCTACTGGCTCTTGTGTGGATTTCTCGTTAGATGGAAAAAAAGAAGGGAGATTTTACCTAACACTAAGAGCAAAAAGTGTTGGAAAACAAGTATCAGAGTTTTTCATGACTTACTGAAGATGGTGGAAAAGTTTTCATTGAACTAAAGTTAGACTTTTGCAGTTTTTGGGGTTTTTTTTTGTTTTGTTTTGTTTTTTTCCTAGTTTTTCTTTTTGCCACAGTAGTTTTCTGCAAAATGCACCACACGTGCAAGGACTGTTAGGAATTGTCAAATGTAGGAGCCTGATAGAGGTGAGGTTGCCACAACTCCATGGCCCCAGGTCCAGGCAACAGTGAGGCTGAGCACGTATCCCAATAGGCACACACACAAACACGTGTATACAACACACACACACACACACACACACACACACACACACATTCTTTACATACAGAGGAACTCAGTACTCTGGCAAATACAAAAAGCATTCACATTCTTCTCCACATCTCCTCTCTGGCTAATCAGGATGAAGGTCCTTACTGGTCTTAGGCACTTGCTCTGTCCAGGAACTGGTCTTACATCCCTGCTAACTTAGACTCATGGGCCCTATGACCTGTGGTCCAACTCCACTTATGCCTTCATGCGCACACAACCACGCAGAACAAAGTTCATCACCCAGCACAAGTAGTTAGAAAAAGAGTTTAATGAGAAGACAGGACAGACCGCAGTGATCAAACATAGGTCAAGGTGAGACAAAAGCATGGACCAGCAGCTGTTCAACATGAAACTAGCCGCCTTTATGCCTTTATCCATCCATTTTTCCACTCTTGTTCTTCAAAATACCTTAATCTATCTCTTCCCCCACTTTTGGTCCGTCCCCTAAAAATCCCATGAAAAGTCAGTCTTGTAGAATCCTGAAATGTTCTTCCCTAGAATTGCACAAGGAGTCCCACATAGTCCTGAAGGCAGTGACCCACCTCAGTCTGTAAGGTGATTTGGAGAGCTGTTCCCACTGACTCATCTTGAAGGGCATCATCCCAAGACACTGAGATGTCTCTTCTGTGTCAGTCCCAGGAAGAGCCAGGTCAGGGTGCTCTGTTTCTCCAGTGAAGTTATTGGGGTTCCCACGTGTGTCATCTTTTTTCCTGTGTGCCTGCTTGCCCAGTGTACCACTGAACTATCTTTAAAGGGAGAGTTATCTAACCCAGAAGGCAGATGTTAGGTGGCAAGATGGCTTTAAACCAAAGCAGTTACTTTAAAAGAAACATGAGGGAAACTCTGCTCTTCAGTGGAATTTTAGGGCTGCAGTGTGATAGAGGCACATAGATCTACAATAATTACTCTAAGGAGACCCACCTAATTTTCTTGCTAGGGATATTACCATAATGACATCTCACTAACAGCAATTACAGTAATTGTCAGCACTGCCAAACACTTTTTTCTATTTTTTTTTTTTATTTTTATTTAACTTGGTAGGTGTGGAAGTGGAATGCCGACCAGTAAGTACCAGACTGCAGTATAAAAATATCAACGGATGTGTGGCTGAAAAGGAGGTGCCTATTTCTCATTGTGAGGTAAATAACAAAAGCAACCAGCCTCCCACCCCTCACCTCCCTGCCAAGACCTGTCCTTAGTATTAGTGAAGCTGATTTTCAGATCTGAGTCCACCTTTAAGCACACATACCTGTCTTCAGGCTCTGAAACTGATTTATGAAAGTGTAAATAGTTATTTAGATGCATGATACTTTAACAGACATTTACACTTGAGCGCTATGATTTACTTCTGTGCTCTATAAGCTCTGGGACCCCTCTATTAGTCTGCGTAATAATCTGTTGTGTTCTTCATGTCTTGTGCGTTTCTTCCATAATCAGATTTAAAGTATAATTTCCTGCACGTCACTGCTTACACCTTATAGAGCAACTTCCATTTGGAAGAGGGGCATGGCTTCCCTTCTGGATGTTCCCGTCTCTCTGAGATGGCATTCTATTCCCAGACTAGGTTATGGCAGGACAACTGCTCAAGCTGAGACAACCACATTTCATGCAAGGATTGCATACCGCCCTCGTACACAATCCAAACTAAGGCATACAAGGATGGCAGTCAAGAAGACGGCTTGCGCCCAGCCCCTTGACTATTCCCTTTAGTTAAGACAGTAGGCAAAATGAGTGTTTCTTTCCCATGGCTACTAAGCAAAGAATCAGAACAGCAAGAAGTATAAAGAGCATACATGCCCAGGCTTTTCAGATAGCTGCTTGGTGAAGGCCCTTCATTAGCTGCAGAAGTCTTAATGAGTGGGAGCTTTAAGAACAACAATACAACTACCTACCTTTCATTAAAAAAAATAATTATTGACCGCTTGTCCTGTCCACAAAGTCATAATCAGTTCTTTAGCCATAAAGTCATATGGATTGAAGTTTCCTCTGCAAAAGTACAGATTTTACTTTGTGAAACTGGCCATATACTGAGTAAACTAAATACTTCTGCTATGGCTGGTATTGAGTATAGTTTTTCCAAAGTCCTCCCTGATAATGTTATGAGGGTTTTTTTTTTTTTTTGTATTAATCTCAGAAATAAGAGCTCAGAGCCACAAAAAAGAAATGGGCTCTGACAGTTTCGTGTGGGACCATTTCTTTTTATATCATGAAAGCATATAGCTACAGGCATTGACAGCTTGGTCTGAATTAATAAAGTGGACAGGCAAGTAGAACGAGGAAAAATAGCAACCAGCAGAACAACGGATGTGTGGCTTGCAACATGTGGGTTAAAGCACTTTCTGAATGCATGACCTCATACAGCTGAGATGATAACCATGTGTGCTTAGAAGCAACAACCCTGGGCATTACTTACGATATTTTAATTTTAGGCTTTTTGTGTGTGACCAGTTCCTTTACCTGTCCTTTGCCATGCTTATGCTGATGAGACCGGCACCCCACACTCTGTTATCAGATACCCGTTTCTGAGTTTGTGGTTTACAGCAGAGCACAGAACTCCAGGCACACACTCATCCGTGGATGTTTTGAAGGGAAGAACCTGGATTCTGACTGCACCGAGTCCTGGCACTGTTCAAACTTGGTATCTCTTCTTTCCGTTTAGGGCAAGTGCAGAAGCAATACCAGATACTCTGTTCAGACAGGGAAGTGGGAAGACCTGTGCAGCTGCTGTAGAGCCACTCAGACAACCATGGTCACGATCCCCCTCCAGTGTGCCAATGGGACAGTGGTGCAGTATTACATCCCTTCTGCCTCTCAGTGTGAATGCTATTCTCGGAAGTGTACAGACTGACTATTTCCAAGAAGCCCAGTTGTTTAATCTTAAGTGTTATGATGGAGGAACTTTACAGTGCAACCCTCGTTTTCTCTCTGTAGACTATTTTATCCATTAGAATCCTGACTAACTAATTGTATCAACACAGCAAGCAATAAAACTTACTAGCACAACAGAGCATTTTCTGATTGTTCTTGGGGTGGTTTATAGAAGAGATAGTGCAGCTTGTATTGTTCCCCTTCATCTTCACCATGGAAAATAAGCCACATTATTGGAAAAAAAAACAACAAACAAACAACCCCCCCCCCAAAAAAAAAAAAATCAAACCCACAACACAGTAACGGAAACAGTTGCTTCTACTTAAAGAACATATCACAAAGCACTTAGCATTGTCTTCAGAGATATTACACTTGCATTCCTTACTTCAGACCTTAGTGACACACTGTGGACTTTTTAGGTTTTGGGTCTTCTTTTTCCCCAGTCAGGGTTACAGTAATTATGGCGTAAGACTTCATAGCAGGGTGATGTTCTTAGTACACAAGCAGTACTGGTTATGGCTTGGGCAACCAAATGTCTTTCTGCAATGCATATATATGTTCCTCTTGAAGCTGAATGCAAAGAAATTGCATGCTGGGGATAGGGTGTGTAACTTCTACAAGTCCTCCATACCTGTGAACGGCGCTGACGGACGGCTCTTACTTATTTACTTCAGCACTTCCACAGAGCAACTTGAAGACAACGGTCCTCAGTGATCGCCCTTCTTTCCAGGTACTAACCTTCATCTGTTGCATTAGCTACAAAAGCTATTCAAATGCAGAATTGTCAATGGCAGGTTTAATTTGGTTACTGTTACCAGGGGTAAATTTAGCAGGATTTAAATTCCACTTGGTCTGATCCAAAGATATTCCAGAGGGTTGTTGAATCTGGTAGAATCTAGTGCCAGTCAAACAGTTCACTGGGAAGTACTAATTTCTCAAAAATATGAAAGAGGGAAAACTGTTCATCCCATTTGCATTTTTGAAAGACAAAAAATATTTAAAGATCTCAGTGAATGAACCTTGTGTTTTTTTTTGTTTTGTTTTGGTTTTTTGTTTTTTTTTTTTTTTTTTTTTTTTTTTTTTAATATATATTAATAAGATATAGGAGGTATATTGGGTGGGGGAAAAAAAAAAGGCAACCCCAAACTTTCCATATGTTTGTGATGGATTCACTAAGGCTTAGCAATAGGTTATGGGTGAAAAAAAAAAAAAATCATAGTTTCTCCAGCTCTAGCAGAAGTGTTCTTGAACTAATGAAAAGCATATATAAAAGTTCTGAAGGGTAAGAGTACTCCTGACAGCCTAACAGAAATGATCGGGAAATCAGGTTATCCTTGCACAGCTTTTAGGTTGGCATCTCTAGAAATGGAAAGCGTTTCAGAGGACATTTCCTTCCTGGGTCATGGACCCCTGGGGAGGAAATTTTTGAGATGAAGAGCTATTGCTCCTCACATGAATGCCACTGTCACATGATTAAATGGGTCAAAACACTTCCCCATCTTTATGAATGTTTCCCTTTGGGTGCAAACAAAAACTCCCTCTGTGCTTTCAACTAAAAAGGCAAGTTACATTCCTTTTTGAGAAGAAACAGGTAGATTCCCGCTGCTTCTCTTTTGCCATTTAGCTGTGAATTCAACACGTATTGAATTGTAGCCCCTTTTTTCTCTTATTATTCATTCAGGACATCCTCTGTTGCTGGACAGTGCTATGAGAAGTGCAGGCCTTCTAGGCATCTCTGTTTCTCCTGCTATTGGACCACACGAACCCCAGGGATAGAAAACAAGTTTTAGTTAGCACCAGCCTCACTTACTGCAGTAAATCTCTGTCACCAGTTTTCGTCCATCGTTGTACTGGTTCCTTGTTGTAGCTGGCTCTGGCTGTTAAGCTCCCTGACAGATGGATTTGGGTCACTCAGTTAATCAACTGCATAGCAGCTCATCTGAAGCTGCAAATAAGCAACTCCTGGAACAGCAGCCTGCAACATCAGAGAGGATGAGAGAAAAGGAGTGGATAAGGGGTAAAAGGCAATGTCTTCCTCTTTACCATTGCTGGACTGCCCCTTGGTTTCCATTGTTGACTTCATCCTACTGACCTTTCTTAGCTCATGAGAGCTGACAGGGTTGCAGCCTAAGGCTTCGTGGCTGCAGAAGGTCTTCTGATCAGATAATTGTATGAGTCAGGCACCAGCCTATCGTCATGGGTAGGACACACAGGAGCATCCACAGGGGCAGAGATGGAGCCACGGTTTTCTAGAACTTCTGAAAAGCAGACACACCCCGTATTTTCCACCAGCAAGGGATAGACAGATCTGTGCAACAAAAAGGCAAGCATTCCTGCTTTCATCTCTTCTCCCTCAATTAACAAGAAAAAAAATTGTGGATCCAAGTGTCTCAAGAGAGAAATGTATTAAAATAAAGGTATTGGTTTTCAGACTAGAGCAATTAGTATTTTTTCCTAAGGAGGTCCAGGTTATTTATTGGAAAACTGCTTGGTTATAGGATCAAACTCATAGCTGAGGTAGATCACTGTAATGGGATAAACAAAACTGTATTAAGACTTTACACTAGTTCAAGAGTATGTCCAAACTATGTGGCTTTCCTTCAGCTTTCTTGGTTGCAATTTTGCTTCCAGGCATCCATGACAGTATATGGACTAAAGTGGGTGAGCAATACATCTGATGAGAACTTGCTGTTTTTTCTTAGAGAATAGAGTGCTGTGGACTTCTGTATGGTCTATATGTAATTATTCAGGCCTGACTAGTACCTATATATTCCAAGAAAAGACAAGGACCTGTTGTGCTCAAGGCCAAAAGGAACTTTTTCCTTGAAAACCCTGTCATAGAAACAGACAAGCGGGAAAGAGCAAGAGAAAGAGAAAATTATGTCTCCTTTAACAGACAGAGAAGGTACCTAAATTTTTGGCCTTGGCCTGCTGGCATGAGACTCATGTTTTCAGGCAGCCTGTCCCAGAAGAGCTGTCGTTTGTCTAAGGCTCTAGTGATACCAGTAAGGCAATGGGCTGGGACTTCCTCCGTGCAGGGTTCAATTGCCTTTCACACAGCCCAGTTTCATTTAGTGCAACTCTGATATTTTCAGAAGCATTCTTTCCTAGCAGAAGTGAAGAACATAATCAAGCCTCTAAGCGAAGCTTAGTAGAGTAGGCCTTAGTAGAGAGCTGTTTACTCTAAGGGTAGTATTGTGCCAGCGCATCAGACAACACTGTACGTCAGACTGCTCCATGGACATTAACCAGCAGAATCCAGGCTCTGAGGAACATTGTTTTTCAACCTGTACATACTGCTTGCGAGTCTTGATGGTTTTGAGCTGCCTTAGCTGTTGCCTTTCTGCCAATGATTCAGAACGTGTCCCACTGCTTCAGAAGACTGGTTGGACTGTTGAGCATGCTGCAGGATAGATTTACAGGAACGTTACATGGATCTGGGGAGGAGTCTTATATAACTTCATTATTAAAAGCATCTAATCTCTCTGCTAACTTTTACAGACTTGCAAGTACCATTTCTCCACAGCAGGTGAAACACAATCTGGTATATTGATATTATTTGTTGATATTATCAACTTACATCATACCCAGGTACCTCAAGAAACATGGTGATGCCAAGATATGATTTTCTCCACTGGAAAGTGTCCTTAAAAGTAGACTACAGACCCAGTTCCATTCTAACCAGCTGGATATTGCTTCCTATCATGTTGCCTCCTGTGTATATTATTTATTACCTGAGCTAACTGTATTACCTGTAATAGACCCATTGTTATGGTTTATAGGAGCTAGTAATTTGAACCCGTGCAGGCAGAGGTTTGTGTCCACAGGGATCGCAGCAGGACCTGGCTCTACATTCCTATACTATTCCAAAATTACTGGGTATGCCTTTCTGGTTTAGCATTTGGTTGGTGTGGCATATAATGTGGATATAAAATAACATAATTTTCAGCAAGTTTCCATTCCCCCTCTCCCAGAGATAAGTGTTTTAAAAAAGCAGTGGGTTTGCTCACTATCCAGGGAGCAGATTAATATAGATATAAAACATCAAGGCAAAAACCAGTTCAACAGTTGCTTCCTTTGGAGTGTTCTCAAGCTACCAGGAGCTCTATGTGATTGCACCATTGCCCTGTACCAAGCAAGTGTGAACAACATTGAGATCCGTGCAACTGTGGATATTTGAGCAGAGTGATCGAGCAAAGTGCAATTCGTTTGTTGAAATGGATGGGGTCGTTACGCAATTAAAAAAAAATTACATGTGTATTACCTCAAAACTCTTATACATGAGCTATTGTGCAAGCAAAAGGCTGTAAGCTAGAGAATTTACACACAGTGACTGAGAAAACCTTTAATTTTTAAAAATTTCTGTTTTCTATTATTTTTTAGATTAATCGGCCCAGAAGCTAAAGCATCTGGGTTGTTCCCTGCCCGAAGGCAGTTTCTAACTGCAGTTCTGAGATTAACGTAAGATACTACTAGAGTAAGAAGTAGTATTTGATACCTGTTGATACATCCCTTAGAAATTAGAAAATGCCATTTCAAAGGAGTGACTAAGAGTGGAGTGATTTAACTTTTCCTATTTGAAGACATCATTCTGTATGAATACTAAAGCTAAGTGTTAAAACATATTCTTTAACGTACTCATCTCCTCTGTATGCACAAAGAAAAAGTAATCATTACTTTTCCCCTTTTGTCAGGGGTAAGTTGTAGCGCAGAAAAGTTTGACTGATGTGTATAAAGCTGTTCAAGGTGGAGTCTGGACTCTTCCTTTTAAGTAAAATCAGGCGTATAACATTAGTGTAGGTTATACATAAAATTCCTCCTGTGGCACTTCAGTTGAGCTGAAGTAAACAGATGAACAGAGTTATCTAATTTAGTCTAATTCTCTTTGGTCTGCCTATAGCTATTTCGTTAAAAGGGCAACTGCCTAGTGACAATTTGTCCAGAATTTAAAGCATCATGTGTACTTCTTCATCTTGCTGGAAACCTTTCACAGCACCTAGCCCAAGTTTTGGGACACGATGGTCACACTGCTCCCCGTATAAACTCAGTATCTTTGACAGTTTAGCCACAGTGCATCAGTACTTCGTGATATAGACAACTGGCACTCTCGCACACAATGCACTGCCCTACTTCACAAGCTTGCAGAAACACTGTACTTTATTCAGTCATTGAATAAATCCATTTACCTCTCTCACACTAGAGAATCTGTCGCGCTGTCATAAATAGGCTAAAAGGAGAAAAAGATTTGAACTCCAAATAATTACGCCTCTGTCCAGTTATCACTAGCAAATAAAAGTCCTTTCTCAGGCGGTATTAGTCAACAACTTTTCTTCCCAATACATAGCTTAGACTGTAAATTTGAAAGCTAAGCAGGATCTATCACCTGTTCTGATTAGACAGCTGATTACAAGATAATCCCCTGAATATTTCATGCAGGAATGACAGTGCTGTATCCAGGCAGTAAGGTAACTTGAGTATTTGAGATAGAGCCTTATAAAAAGGTTTCTGTACTTACCTCCTACCTGGAAACACTGTAAAGCTTTGCAGATATAGGCACTCTTCCCCACAGAAACCACTTCCAAGGCAGTCTAATCCTTGAATAATGTTTTTTTGGATGGAGCTGGCTCTGTTGTAGAGCCCTGGTTTTGTGTTAGCTTTTTTTCTTCCTTTCTTCCACTCCCTCTCCACTGCCCTCTGGGAAGTTAGGACAAATTATGCCTGTTGAGATGTTGCTTGTTGAGGCATTATAGAGCATGAAAACAAGATGCTAAAGTTCCAGCAGAGAATTGCCATGGCATCTCAGGTCATGGGAATTTTGCCTTTTTCCTTCTCTTTTCTCCATGATGGTAATCACCAAAACAGAAGATCTTGCTAATTAGCTTCAGTCTGTGGTTTGCTTAAAGCAGGATCAAGCCGGGATGGAAATAGCTGCTAGGGCTGTTCACTACTTAAGCCAGTGCAGAGGCGGATTGTGCTCACAATCAGCATAGCCACATCCTATTAGCACTGATGCAACATCCAGCCAAACCTCCGGGCAACATGGAAACACACACACCAGGTAAGTTTTTTCTCTGCTTCATTGTTAATTGCTGCCTATGAAGTTGAATAGATGGAAAAGGGGGTGGTGAACAGAGAAAGAAATACTTTGAAAGGACTTTTGTGTCTTCTTTCAGGGCATTTTCAAAATAACAAATTAAAAAAAAAGAAAAATCTGTGGCCCAGGTTACGTACAGACAATGTGCAGCAGTGAGCCTCCAATCCCCACACGCAAGGAACGAATCTGCTCAGTGCATAAAACGTTTGTGTTTGAGTTCTCTGTACAATTTTAGAATAACATTCAGTGCTGATATTGTGTCACTATTACTTTACTGCTACAGTCGAAAGCTCTGTGGTTGTTTCCACATTATCTCATTGTTTCTGGGGCCATAGCTCTGCTGTGAACTCTGAACTATCAGGCATCTCACTGAATCCTGCTATTTCTGTGCTCTCCCATCCAGTTCCCTTCCTAAAATTATTTGTTTAGCAGACCACAGTGTGCAAAGAGCCATTAGATTTAATGCCTACTGCTGATCTTTGTTGAGTTATTTCAGCATCCTTTTTCTATCTCAGGCCCTTTACTGTTGGAGTTAGTCCTGAGATATACTTTATGTCAGAAAAATCAGGTACTTTATGTCAGAAAAATCAGGTACTTTCTGTAATCTTTACATGTAGAGTAAAATTAAAAAAAAAACACCCACAAACAAACAAACAACAAAACCAGGAGGGGAGTCTGTAAAGTTATACACGCCGTTGTATTATGTAGATATAGCTCCATTAAGTCTTCAGATAATGCAAACATTCATAAGGTGGCTCAGGTTTTTGTTTTATACTGTGTGGTTCCCACATCTATCTCCACAGCTCTACTCTGTTTCCTTCATTCTGGTGATTCAGGTTCATAGTCTTTCACTGTTTAGGAGACTCTCTGTCTCATGGCGTGTGCCAGAGGTGAGTGAGCACCTCTGTTAACTCGGGTACATCCTTACTGGTCGGAAGGCCAGAGGGGAGGGCTCCTCTCTACATGGGGCTGCCAAAGGAGCACAACCACAGGTTTTTACGTTTGTGTCTGTGACCATAGCTATTCAGGCAGGTCAAAGCCAACAAGGATCTGTGCTCCTCCTGGCCTGCCCCTGCCTGTTTGAGGTGCTGTAATGCTGTTGCTTTTGGCAGCAGCTCAGGGACAGACTGTCAGGGCCCAGAGTGCATTCCCCTTCTAGGCGTTGGCCATCTTAAAGACTTTAGCTGGCTGAGTCCAAGGCCAGCTCCTTCAACAGCCAGAGCTGGAAGAAAGCTCTGGAAGTGAAAGAGAAGAAGAAAGTTGGAAGTGAAGTCCTGCCCTCCTTTCCCTTGCAGCTGAGCTCTACCACTCGCTCCCTGACTGCATTACATCACAGCTGAGCAGCACCTACACCTGCACCCAGTCTTGGACCTTCACTGGTCTGGTCCTGCCCTTGACCCAGTGGCTCTGCTCCCCCGGCTTGACCCCAGACCTGCCTGGTCACCGCTGCCTTGCTGGGGAATCACTAAGCTGTGTCCAACCCTTACCACTGTCTCCAGCCCTGACCCTAACGCAGACTTGTTGCTCTGCATCTGGGCACCCTGTCAGCAGGGTCACTCACTGCTCTGCCCTATCGTGCTCTGCTCCGGGCTCATCTTCCCCTGTGGAGTGACAGCCACAGGCCTCCTTTTCCCTAAAGTGACTGTAAGAGGATTGTTATTATCCTTTGTGTCAGTAACTCTTACTTTAAACAATCAGTGACTATGGACTCACACAAAGGGCCAGAGGGTTACGGACAAGTCACTCTGTTTACCACAGATTAGCAGATTCCTGAATCACTGTAGTCTCAAAGTGCACGCTGATATGGGAAGAAGCCCACCCTGTGCCAGAATTATTTCTTGTGCACAGCTCCACCAAGCTCAACGCAGCTACAGCAGGGTGTGATTTCCTCCACTGTGTCTTCAAGACTACCATTAGTGCCTTTTAAGAATCATAGGAATTAAAGACAGACAAGATTGGATTGTCTCTAATGCTTTTCACCACCTATGAGAAATCCTGGCTTAATGCCTTTGACAGTCTGGGTGCTGGACCTCATTCCAACATTCAGTTTGAGATTCCACATCCTGAGCCTCCGGGACACTCAACAAGGAGAATCACTTGGGTAGGAATCAGGATCTCACTTGTGTCCCTTTACATTTGTCTGTACGTAACACTGTTCCCCTTCCCAGCCTCCCAAATATGATCAGAGAAGACGTTCTCTTTATAGAGAGAACTGTCTAATGCTGAGTTTAGTTATGAGACTGATTTTAGTTGAAGCATTTAAATAGTAGGGGACTAAATATCTAAATGGCTCTTAAACCATCCTGAAGAAAGAAATATCAGATATCTGAAATTTAATGGTCAAAATCTATCTTTCTTTTATTCAGATAAGGAGTTTGGGAACACTGCACTAATCTAAATTATCTTTAATGATACCTGCTGGACCTTTTCCTTCAAGTATTATTGAATAAAGAATGGATTTCCTACGTAAAAATTTATTCCTAGACATTTCCTCTGGTGGCCTGTTTCCTTTAAGCTTGACCAAGGCTTATTTAATTAACATGCCTTCCCTTGTGTCTGAAACTCTTTAATTGAAATATTAAAGAATAAGCAGTATTTTGAAGAGACAAGAGGGGGCAGCTTAAAAAAGAACACGGAAGTACGATGAAGCTATTTGCATACTTATAAGACATGCCTGGCTGTATTGAAATCAGCCAGTCTAGATATGCATGTTCAGAACTGAGAAGTCATTAGCTTAGTGGGGACCTAAAGAACACATGTATAACCATGGTGTATGTTTTGATTTATATATAGATCTCTCTCCTTTGAAGAAGTTATGTATAGTCAAGCTACATAGAAAGTAGTTCTTTATCATACCTACTCGGGGGGGCAAGGGGAGGGGGGAAGGAAAAAAAAGTTTGCCAAACAACGCTCCTAAATTACAGATGTTTTGAACAACCTGACAGAGGAATCGGTGCGAGTACAGGTATACTTCTGACTGTGGCGTCTGTCAGAAATGCAGCCCATTTCTGATAGTTAACTGAAAAGAGAGATGAAAGCAGGCCAGCGTCTGTGCCCGGGGTGGCCAAACCATTTGCAATGTATTCTGCAAGTAGCTGTCTTTATGATAATCCGACCATCTGGACCACTCAGATCGGATAATTGGCTGCTGCTCAGGATTTAATACAGAGCTCCTAATTAGGTAGACTTCCTTAATGCATATTTCACAAGCAGGATGGTCCTTTAATACACCCTCTCAGCCCTTCCACTTTTGGCAGTATGTGCAGCTTCTTCATCATTGCACTTTAGACAAGGAATTGGAAACTCAAAGAGTGAGGTCAACTGATGCACACACGGCCAACCCTTGAGTTTACAAAAAGGTGAAGCAAAGGAATGCAGAGACTGAGCAAGCAAGTAGATGGTTACTGGCTGTGAACTGGTACTGGAACTAGAGCTGGTCACTGATCTCTGTGCTGCAGGTAGCTTGTCCTTGGAAGCCATTACGACCTAAAGAAGTTTGACTGGAGGATGGCTCCCAGGCTATTTGTCTGAGTGTTCTTGAGGATTTGCTTTCCAGGTTGAATTCAGATCCACTCTATTACTGTTCTCTGGGGAGGTGTATATATATATCTATGTGTATGTGTGTGTGTACCAAAGCTATGCATGTGTGCATGTATAAAAAATTTATATATATATATATATATGCACATACATACACACACAGCTTGTTTCTATTGATACTAATTCCTCTAGAATATTAACAGAATGAGAAGATGTAAAGCCAGATGTCGTAAAGGCTTACAGGGTAGAATGAGGTCAGGCAGCATCTGAAGCAGAAGCCCCTGAGGAGCTGCAGTACCACAGGCAAGCACTATCAAATGTGGAACTCATTCAGAACAAAACGCTTTGCTTCAGTCGGTTTGATTTGGGAAGATGTAAATCTTTTGGGAGAACAGAAGCCTTCCAAGTTCAGACATGGAAATTGCATCTCCATCAAATAACTTACTCTGACTGGAAACCCCTGACTGCCTCACCTGCTTACCAGTGTTAACCTCGGGTTCGTGACACAGTTTCTGAAGGTTGGGAAGCATAATGGAAATGAAATCATTTTATTCTAAATGAACTGCAGATCTTTTTCCTAGCCTTGATTAAAAAGACGGGGAGGCAAAAAAGAGTCTTAATTGACTGTGCAAAGGTCTTGTGAGATATTCCAGGTTTAGTCTGGAAATACTGGAGAAACACTGTGTGTGGCCTTTGGGAGTTGAAGCTTCACTTATTAATTAGTTTCCTTGGAGTTTCCCTTGTGGCATCATTATGTGGTTCATTAAAGTAAAAGAAGTGTGAGTTTCCTTGAGAGATCAGAAAAGCAAGACTGGTAAGTCAATCTACTGTACTGTTGAAGTGCTGCAGGACCCTAATCTATTATTACGAGGAAACATAAGAATAATCATAACATTTAGGGGTACATTCCCTTCTTTAACAGTTTACTTGCTCTGTTAGCACATAATTGTGTGTAAGTAGATTCAGCCTGTGCAGAGGGCAGAGAAGATTAGCAGT